TCGCGCAGCCCAGAGGCCTCTGTGGTGAGCTCGAGGTGTGCAGGGCTCAGGTCACCTGCCTGTGCCGCACGCCGGGAGCTCTCCCCCGCTGGGCTGGGGCCCCCACCTGTGGGACCACACCACATCCCTGCTTCTCCTTTCAGACCCCACAGACGCCTGCCCCCCCGCAGCCCCCTGCTGGTACTCCCACCAGCAGGTGAACACACTTCACTCGGTCATCACAGTAACACTGAACATAATTTACGGCAGGGCTCGCAACCACCCACGTCAGGAACATACAAACGCTGTCACTGTGAAGACTGACATTCCAAGTCTGCCCAATAAGCGTTCCGATTTTAAGGGATTTCCAGAATAAGCAGCAATCAACATAAGTGTTGTATGTTGTGTCAATTTTAAAGCACTTCCTGACGAAAGCCTGAGTTTCTACAAACATGACCATTCTATCACATCGGTCACCTCCTTCAAGATTCTCCAAGTTTATGGCTACATGAGATAACAGGGTCTGAGAGCCCAGTTTCCCCAGGTTTGATCAGACTGGCACCTGAATGTCACAATTGGCAACAAGACAACTGCCCAGTGGCTGGTGTCCCTTCCGCCCTGCACTGGAGCCCCGAGGCCCGGGGGACACCGACGCTGTAACTCAGGGAGGCCTCGCCCACCTGATACCCACACCGACCTTACTCTGGCAGATAAAATCCTCAACATCAGACTTTCACGGCAGCTTACAATTCTAGCGTAATCACCATTCAAACGAACGAAGATACTAGAGCTGAGAAATGCCACTTACGTTACCATCAGTCATGATTTATTGATGGGAACTTCAATTCGGTGATTTCAGAGTCCGGGGAGCTGCTTCCACTCCTGTCACTGTAGGTGTCCCTGTGGAATTCGGATGGTTTATTCACACGCTTTCCTCTCTGTGTCCCTAGCCACAGACCCACAGGACCTTCGTCCGCACACAGCAGGCGTCAGGGAGATGCTCTCCTGCCTCACGTACTGAGCACAGAGCTGCAGAGGGGTTTTCTTCTAGTTAGGGAAGCTACACGTTCGGTTTGTACTTCACTCCTGGAACTCCAACCCCCAGCTCAGAGTGAGGAACCGGTTCTGAAGGAAGGGAGTGGCGAGGCAGGGATCCACCGGGGCTGTGAGAGCCAGCGGCCCACGGACCCAGGGCCACGATGCCACACGCGAGCCCGGGGGCCAGGTGCCATACTGACGGCCCGGACCCCGCGCAGGGGAAGCTCCAGGCGGCACACAGGCAGCCCGAAGGGACCCCCCGGAGGACAGCACGCCCGCTGTGACGAGCCGGGGGCCCCCCCGACAGACTAGAGAAGAGTGACCGCACCTGGGCGAGAGCCTGCAGCCTTTCTGAAGGTAATGCGGGAGCCTCCCCACGGAGGCCAGCAGGAGGCCAAAGTATGGAGGTGAAGGCTTGATGGGCCTGGACAGGAACTCAGGGTGGTACTGAACCCCAACGAAGAAGGGATGATCTGAAACAGAAACGCCAAAGCAGCACTTTTGTCACGTGCATAGAACACAGGAGATGAGCAAACCCTGTCAGATATTTCACGTTTCTACAGACCCTAAAATTACCTAAAACTAGCATCTTGATGGGAATGCAGGTAAAGGCAGCCCCAAAGCTGGGGGGAGCAGACGCCCTGGCCCCGCACACTGTTGCCCTGCTGGCTGACGGGCCCTCCTCTCCCAGGTCCCCGCCCGGCTGGCCCTGCTCCCCGGCTTCCTCCCATCAGAAGCAGGGCTCAAGGACCAAGGGCGAGCTCTCATTCTGGAGAATGAGGACCAAGGCCAGAAGCGCAGCGCTGCCCGCGGGAGGATGGGCTCCCCGGGGCCCCGGGCGCCTGTTCCCCAAGAGCACCCCCAGCAGCACGGGGCTGCCTCCTCCGGCCGTCAGGTCAGCGCTCCCAGGCCCCCGCACCCGGACCTGCTAAGCCCCCCTCACCCCTGACGGCCACCCCGCACTCACCCTCCAGCTCCACGATCTCCATCCTCTCTCCCCCAACGTCCTGGCCGACGAACTTCAGGCCCTGCTCTTCCAGACACTTCTTCAGGACTGGATTCACCTGCAGGCACACGAAGAGTAAGTCGGCTGACCTCTCAGCTTGCTGCGTTTCCAGAGTCGCCAGCAGGAGAAAAGTTGAAAGGTCACTAAGCTCAACTCCTCACCTCAAATCTGTGGCGGTGCCTCTCTTCCAGGTAATCGGGATCTCCGTAGAGTTTCCCTGGCAAAAGAGAGCAGGCTGATGCAAAGAATGCTGATTCACGAACCTACTCAACCGTATCCTGCTCCCAGTGTCCTTCCCACCACCGACGCGGCCGGGCCTCTGAAGGCGGCTCTGGGCGCTCCTGCCAACTAGGGCCACCTGCCCGCAGCAGCGCAGCCTAGACTTGTCCTTGGGCTCTGACTCTTCTGACCACGCCAGGAAAAACTGTCACAGAGACCAACGTTTCCACACCGCCCCCCAAGTGCATGATTACTGCGATTCAAAGCCCTTTCCGCTGGAAACTGCCCTGGAAAACACACCAGGATGCACCAGACAGCTGAACCTAGAAAGACACTTCCAGAGCTGCGGAGGTGGCCTGCGGGGCAGCCGTGTGGGTAAGCCACGGTCCGCAGAGCGTCGTGGCACTGGCACTGCATGCGCTCAGGGGCCGCGGTGGGGGGGGGTCCCCAAGTCCACAGAGCACGGAGCTGGGAGCACTGCACGGTCGCCTACTCAACTGACTCAAACGGTGACAGACACAGGGGCCCTGCTAATATAAAGACAGCATTTTCCTAGTGAGCAAGAGAAGGAGACTGACTGCAGCCATTCTCAAGTATTTTCTTCCCGATTTTCCCTAAATCTCTAGCGCCTATTACTTTTAGAATAAAAACGATTTCGGTTGGCCCACACAAAACTGCCTTTCTGGCGGACAGCACCTGCCACCCCTGGCAGTTGAATTCGGTTCCCCCGAACAGCCTAGGGGAAGGACTGCGGGGGACTGCACCTCACTGCCTCCTTCCCGTGAGCCGCCCGCACCCGAGACCCCCGGGCCCCTGAGCGCACTGCCCGTGCGCTCTCTAAGAGCCACACTGCTTCTTCGGCTATTACAGCGCATCCTAAAAGGACGGGAGTAGGAAGGGGAAAAAAACGCGAAAGCAAGAACAAAACCCAAAAAGCCAGCCTGGCTCTTCGGAGCCCCAGCAGCAGCCCAAGGCGTGTGTCCTGGACGTGCAGGAGGCGGAGGCGGGGGGTGGGGGAGGGGGTAGGCAGCTCTTACTCATGACCGAGTTCTTGGTCTGGAACAGGGTTCTCCTCTTGCCCAGCCTCATGGTTCCGCCCATCTGCCCAGGATTGTGTTCTGGCATGTCTATGACCTGGGGGTGTTCAAAACACAAACACGCACTACCACACTCTGCTTCCGTTAGCAGACAGACTGCCTGCACTGAGTGACAAGGGCCTGTGAGCAGCCCTAACCCCCAGCCCCTGCTCAGAGACGCTTGCCGCTGGAGGAGAGGCCTTCCTCTCATCGTTCATAACCTGTGTCGGGTAGGGACTTAAGCCTTCAGCCTGTTATCCTGAGCTGCCCCCACCCTTGGCCATTCCTGCCCCCAGCGCTTTGGATCATGAGGGCTGCTGGGCCTCAGCACGTTCTGGAGACTTAACCCAGCAGCACGGATGTGAGACTGGATAGGTTATAACACATGTCTCCTCCACCGGACTGATGAGCTGCTCAAAGGAAAGGAATGCTTCTCAGGGTTTGCCGTGTCTCAGCCAGAGCTTGGTGAACGTGTGGGCAGCACAGAGTGCGAGGCCTCCGAGCCACGACAGCCCAGCGCACGGCTCAGTCCCAGGCTCCTCTGAGCACCTCCTGGCCTCGAGGACCGTCTCTGGGCCTTGCCTTCCCACCACCGTGAGGCTGCACCCTTCAAACCCTTCGCTCTTCTCTCCTGAGCTCTTCGTCTGAGCAAAGTTCAGTTTGAAGTCAACAAGCATATACTGATGCTGTTTAAATGCCCTGAGATCAAGAGCTCTGTCCACCTTGTTTATCACAGCATCTTTGGTATCAAGAACAGACCTGTCACCCCCGGGTGGGAGATGTGAAGATGAATAAAGGCGCTGTCCCTCCCCAGGAGCCACATTCCTCTGACCGGAGACCTCACATGAGGGATGCGGGCCTCCAGAAGCTTTAGTTACCATTAAACATGTTCGTTCAACAACCACGTTCCTCGGGTCTTGAATAACATGCCCGTCTCCCCAGCTTGTCGGGGAGGAAATGAACGAGTATCTGTGAAGTGGTGAGGACAGCGCCTGGTGCACAGTAGGGCCCATGTGTTTCTTCCCAGCAGTGTTATGCTCTCCTGGGGGCCAGGGGGAGCGGGGATGGAGAATTATTCTAACCAGGAACCACCCTGGTTGGCTGGCGTGATACCTGTCTTAAACATTTTCTGTTGCAAACTGGGAAGAGAAGCGAGAACTTACACTACGAAAAATAAAAGTTCTTCCCATCTGGTCTGAGGGTTCCATGGACGGACCCAGGGGTCTCCTTCCTGTGTCTGAGCACTAAGTGCTCTCATGAACGCCCCCTCCACGCCCTTCTAAGCCCTCATGAGGTTCAAACACTGGACTCACCACAGGATGATTGGTCTTAGGGTCAAACTCTGTAGAATTGGCATCTGAAAAATCGAAGTACTTATGTTATGAAAATAGTTATAAACAACAGTGATTATTTTCGAGTATCATTCCTAAGCTCTAAACTACAATTTCCCTCCCCAATTCCAAGTGACCGTTCAGTGATTCAAACAAAAACCAGGCATAACATTAAGACACGAAGTACTCAGTGCACACGGGTGAATGTTTGCCATCTGTGAGCTCTCTGGAAGTCAAGCCGCACAAAATGGGGAAATTGAACCCAGTGGCACAACCCCATCATCTTTATTTAAATACTGCCTCCTTATGACCGTTTGTACACTGTTCTTAGTTCTCCCCTTCTCGTTTCAGAGTGTCTCTCTCCAGGACGGACAACACATTTCTCTCCTCTTCGGCATCTTCCATGTCGCCCTGCCCAACCGCCTCGCGCAGCAGCTCAGTCAGGAATTCACTGATCTTCCTTCCTCTCCCTTACTGAATTTATGGTCTAGCCATAAGCAAAACCACTAAAGACTAAAAGGAAAAGAACCCAGTTCCTGGTACAGCCCGGCTCCCTGTGTGTGACAGGCCCGGTATCCTTCCCTCCTAGGCCTTACCAGGGCCAGGTCCCAGCTGAAGGTAAGTTCGTCACCAGGTCACCCACCCACCTGGGGACCCGAGTGGGCGACGGATTGTGGCCGGGAGAGGGTTCAGGGTGCCCAAAGGGCCAGCTCTAGGGCGGCGGGTGGCTAGGACAGCACCTGCCAGGGGCTCAGGAGCCAGAACTAAAGGGCATGCAGCCTGGACTGGCCACCACGCCCTCCGGTAAGTGGGAGGCGGCCTCTCGGAAACGTCTACAAGGAGCCCAATCCCAACAGTAAGCTGGCCGCGGGAGAGCCACTCGTCCCTTGTGGAGCCAGACTGCTTTCACGTTCCTCAGGATGCTTGGTTTCTTTTTCTTACAACGTCTAAGGTCTTTCTGAAAACCTCGTGTTTGTCAGCTGGGCTACAGAGACGAGAGGGGCTGTGTGGGCTCTTCCGTCGGTGGCCCCAGTGAGCCTCGCCCCCGCAGTCGCACTGTGTGGTCCCCTCTCCCACCAGCTGCGCTGGGCCTTGGGACACGAGCAAGCTTGGTAAGTGCCTGCACACCGGGCCTGTCATTTTGGAAGCCAGTAGGTCGCCTCGCTGTGACATGCCTCGGCTGAATGAGTGAATGATGAGTCTTGCTCCGTGGAGAGAACCATCTGGAGGTCCCTGCTGGGCAGAACTGAATGCACGGCAGGATGATCTGATGCACCACAGGGAGCAGAACCCCAGCCAGCCAAGTCCACTCACCCCACGGCACTCTGAGACATGATGAAACGCTGATGGAAGCCACAGGGCCTTCGGGTGGCCTGGAGAGTTGGCGAGGCACAGAGAATTTCCTATCTGCCAGGCACCGTGCTGGGACTATTTACATGCATTATTTCATTCGGTTCTTACGACCACGAGAAGGAGGTACCGCTATCACCCCATTTTACAGAAGACACAGAAGCCAGAAAGGCTAAGTAACTTATCTAAAATCACCCCCCATAAGGGAGGGTCAGAAGCTGGGCCCAGGTCTGACCAGCTCCGGGGCCCAAGTTCATAGAACTGCACAGCCTCACGCAGGCCAGAGTTTCCTCGCTCAGCCAGCTCAGGGATGGTGGCCATGGTGATGGGCGGGCGGGCAGCTCCGGAGCTGGAAATGCAGGGGCAGAGAGCCAGGCTGCGTGCTCGGCTGTGACCCCTCCTTCCTGAGGTCTGCGCAGAGGAGTGGAACTTTCCCTCTGTACACACGGCACTTCCCCTCTGCCGTGCCCCACAAGGTACCTCAAAGCCAGGCCTGGCCTTCTCCAGGGCCCCCGGTCACCCAGTGGGCGCCAGGCTTCACTCCCTCCAGGAAACACTTCAGCAAGGATTTAACAAGGTTTTTAATGAACACTTACCTTGCCATCCCAGCACATTTCTTGAAAATTCAACCACTGCCAACTGCATCCCTAAGCACACACCTTGCAGGCGGAAGAGAAAACACAGATGAAGCTCCACGGAAAAGGCAGCTCCTACATTTCCCACCAGCCTGCAGTGGACCCCACGTACCGCGTGCTCACAGAATGACCACCACAAACTCTCACACTTTCCCCCTCCCCCCACAAGCACCCCCTGCTGTGTTTCATCTGTTACCAGCTTTCAAAACCTGGGTCTAATGTATCATATGATCTCACTGGTATGAGGAATTCTTAATCTCAGGAAACAAACTGAGGGTTGCTAGAGTGGTGGGGGGTGGGAGGGATGGGGTGACTGAGTGATGGACATTGGGGAGGGTATGTGCTATGGTGAGCGCTGTGAATTGTGTAAGACTGTTGAATCACAGACCTGTACCTCTGAAACAAATAATACATTATATGTTAAAAATATATATATAGTCGGAAGGGAACAATGAAGAGGGGGAAATTGGAGGGGGAGACGAACCATGAGAGACGATGGACTCTGAGAAACAAACTGAGGGTTCTAGAGGGGAGGGGGGTGGGGGAATGGGTTAGCCTGGTGATGGGTATTAAAGAGGGCACGTACTGAATGGAGCACTGGGTGTTATACGCAAACAATGAATCATGGAACACTACGTCAAAAACTAATGATGTAATGTATGGTGATTAACATAACATGATAAAATCTAAAAAATTTTCTATTAAAAAAAAAAACTGGGTCGGGCGCCTGGGTGGCTCAATTGGTTAGGCGACTGCCTTTGGCTCAGGTCATGATCCTGGAGTCCCTGGATCGAGTCCCGCATCGGGCTCCCTGCTTGGCGGGGGGTCTGCTTCTCCCTCTGACCCTCCCCCCTCTCATGTGCTCTCTCTCATTCTCTCTCAAATAAATAAATAAAATCTTTAAAAAAAAAAAAAAAACTGGGTCTAAGCTTTCAAAAACTTCTCATGTGAAGATCCCAGGTTTTAGAAGCTATTCAATTTTAGAAATACACAATATTCCATTCATCCTTAACAATTCAAGTTTTCCTATTCTCTCTCATTAAGTTCCCATTTACAACTGATCAAGTTGAAAATTACTAGAGTTTGTGGCACCGGGAAGCATCCACAATCACTTTGGCCAATTCCAAGTGAGGACGTGAAACTCAGCGTCACGTGTCCTGCCAAACAGCTGGATTCCACAAACAGACAAGATTTCCTGATTGCTATTTCATCCTCCCCAAATTCCACAACATCTACACATGGGTGTACAAGCCTTAAACTTTTCACGCTGAGAGAGTCTGAATTTCTCCCAAACAGGACCAAAACGGCTTCTGCTTGAGTTGCTATCTAGAAAGACGGCATCCGTGCTTGGTTCCGGTAACCTCCCTGTTTTACTCACAGGCTCCCATGTGGCACTTTTTCTTGATCTTTCCTACTCCTTACCCAAAAAAGGCTTCTTCTGTTTCCGAGCCCAGGCGATGGCTTGGATTTTTCCTTCTGTGCCCCGAACACCAAATCCCCCTGGAACCAGCACTCCACTGTACAAGAGAGCACAGCACATGGCAATTGGCCCTTACCACCAGCCCAAGGAGCCACATGCCCAAGACACTGGTGCCACGAAGTCGCTCCGTGTATTTTCCTACTGGGGCTATGACGGTGATTTTGAGACAGCCAGTGAGCTGAACGCAAACACTGTGAGCTTAGAAAATGTGCACTAAGTGCTTACCAGTAAAAAAAAAGGTGGCACACGGATTCTTTCATAATTTTCAATATATGTTAATACATATGCAACTGTTTACTTCTTGGCTTAAAGCGCTCCCTTGCATGGGAAGGGAGTGCTTTCCCTATCAACTGAGAGTGTCTGCCGAGCGGGGGCCTGAGTCATAGTTGTAGGGCTCTAGAACATGCCACTGTTCCAGAGAGCTAGAGTTTCCTGCTGATGGTTTACTATTATAAATAACAGCTGCCAAAAACAAACTATGAGACTGCTGATGGGTCCTCATCAAATGTTCCAGATGAAAATCTTTAAATAAGCTTCATCAGTAGACACAGACAGCAAACGTCCATAAAATCAGAACACGTTTCCTTCAGATTCAACTATATTGATAAGCTATATTTTTGTAAGGCTTAAATCACACAGAATGTAGGGCGCCTGGGTGGCTCAGCTGGTTAAGCGTCTGCCTTTAGCTCAGGTCATGATCGCAGGATGCTAGGATCGAGCCCTGCACTAGGCTCCTTGCTCACTGGGGAACCTGCTTCTCCCTCTCCCTCTGCTGCTCCCACCTGCTCATGCTCTCTCGCTCTCGCTCTCTCTCTCACTCTCCCACTTGCTCTCAAATAAATAAATAAAATCTTTAAAAAAAAAAAAATCACAGATTGTAGCCTTTTCAATAATTAAAAGATCTTTAGGGGCACCTGGGTGGCTCGGTCGTTAAGCGTCTGCCTTCGGCTTAGGTCATGATCCCAGGGTCCTGGGATCGAGCCCCGCATTGGGCTCCCTGCTCAGCGGGAGGCCTGTTTCTCCCTCTCCCACTCCCCCTTCTTGTGTTCCCTCTCTCGCTGTCTCTCTCTCTCTCTGTCAAATAAATAAATAAAATCTTTAAAAAAAAAAAATCACACAGATTGTAGCCTTTTCAATAATTAAAAGATCTTTAGGGGCGCCTGGGTGGCTCGGTCGTTAAGCGGCTGCCTTCGGCTCAGTTCCTGATCCCAGGGTCCTGGGATCGAGCCCCACATCGGGCTCCCTGCTTGGCGGGAAGCCTGCTTCTCCCTCTCCCACTCCCCCTGCTTGTGTTCCCTCTCTCGCTGTGTCTCTATCAAATAAATGAATAAAATCTTAAAAAAAAAATCAAAAGATCTTTAAAAAGCAGATTACCTACTACTAGCACATGAAAGCACAAGGCTCTGCTCATTAAAGCCCCCTGCCCCCCCAGACCTCTGGAAACCGAAGGCAGAGGGTACTACTCACTGAGCGCTACAGAGCTTCTGCCAGGCTTCGTGATAGCGCACGGGCTCCTCCTGCAACGTGCTCGGCTCCAAGTCGGTAGAGTCTATGTACTGCGGGTCATTCGGGCAGGGGAGGAAAGAAGCAGGCCATGACTCCAGAGCCGCATTTTCCCTAATTCCCAAATGATACTGTCAATGCCCTGTCTTTCTTCACTTTAAAATAAAGTTTTAGGGGCGCCTGGGTGGCTCAGTCGTTAAGCATCTGCCTTCGGCTCGGGTCATGATCCCAGGGTCCTGGGATCGAGTCCCGCATCGGGCTCCCTGCTCAGCGGGAAGCCTGCTTCTCCCTCTGACCCTCCTCCCCCTGCTCATGCTTGTGCTCTCTCTCTTACTCAAATAAATAAAATCTTTAGAAAAATAAAAAAATAAAAAATAAAAGTTTCAAAATTATGATCTTCATATATTTAAACTTAGTAATTTTTAAATAAACTTTAAATTCTTTCTTATATTTTAAAATACAAATGTTGCCAAATCATCTGCCTCCCCAATCCGGCTCTCCACTGGCTCTATCCTCAGCCCGCTAGAGTGAGTCGAAAGTGTTCTCTCTGGGGGTGCCTGGGTGGCTCAGTCGGTTAAGTGTCTGCCTTCGGCTCAGGTCACGATCCCAGGGTCCTAGAAGCCCCACATCCGGACTCCCTGCTCAGCGGGGAGCCTGCTTCTCCCTCTCCTTCTGACCCTCCCCCTGCTTGTGCTCGTGCTGACAAATAAATAAATGAAATCTTTAAAAATAAGGTAAGATGAAAAAAATAAGTTAAATAAAGCGTTCTCTCTGTTCAGAATGCATTTTTCCCCAGCCCGCCACCTAGACTGCTTTCCATCTTCCACCTTCACTGAAGTGTAACTTACAGACAATAAAATCCAAGCATTTTAAGTGTACACTCTGATGAGTTTTGTCAAACATACACACAAAGGTGTCACGACCACCTCAATCAAAGATAAAGAAAATGACTGTCACCCCAGAAAGTCCCCTCTGCCCTCCCCCCCGCCAAACAACCCCCTCTCCACCTCCTGCCCCGGACACCCCCGGCTCTGTTATCACCACAGATGCCTCTTTTAGAACTTCATAGAAAATAAAAACACACACCACACAGCCTTCTGTGTCTGGCTTTTTTGGCTCGGTATGTTTCTGGAATTCATCCCTGTTGCTCTGCGTGTCACGAGTTTATTCCTTTTTATCCCTGAGCTGTTTCCCACTGTGGAAATACACCACAACGTGCATACTAACTCACGCTGGACATTTGGATTGGTCCCAGATTGTGGCTATGAAAATAATAGTCCTCTTGTATAAAAAATACTTTTTGTGGACATGTGTTTTCAGAGAAGATAGCAGGGAGTGGAAGTGCTGGGTCCCGGAGTAAGTGTACGTTTCCCTTTGTGGGAAAGTGCCAGGTCGTGTTCTCAGCAGTCCTGCCATTTCACCGGCCCACCAGCAAGGCACGGAGCTCCCCGTCCTCACCAGCACGCTCGGCCTCTCCTCTCCTCTCCCTGGGTGTGTCTCCCAGTGATTTAAGGTGCATGTATTCCCCGGACAACGGAAGGCACTGCCCTTGACTGCCTTTTCACATACATCAGGTGCAGCTTTCATGGAAGTGTCCACTCAGACCTTCTGCCCCCCTTATTATGTTGTTCATCTTTTTCTTACTCCTTCCTGCCCAATACCCTGCAATGACCTCCCCGAACCTCAGGGAAGACCCAGCTGTGGGCCAGGCAACAGGGTTCATGACCTCACAGGCCTGTCTCCAGACATCCCCCAGTTCACTTTTCCATCCACTGAGTAACAACTATTCCCCATCTCCAAGCCCTTGGATACACTCTACCTTCTGTCCGAATGCCCTTCCCTTCTGCCTCCTCCACCTTCCCGAAGTCTCCCAGAGTCCCTCTTGGAGGACATCCGCCCTCCTCACATGTCTACCCAGAGAGGTTCCCCCCGCTTTCCTGTGTGCTCCCCTCACACCTTTGAGACTTCACGGACTCATTCACCTCTCGGCCCCCACCATCTACCACGATAGGCACAGACTATGTCCAAGTGCATACGACAGA